CAGAGGGAAGCAAGCTCTTTGGGAAGGCTGTTTGTGTTGTCTGAAGTGTGCTGAGTTGTCTGTGAAGCTAAATATGTGGGTGGAAAAACTAATGCACATCAGCTGAGGATTTGCATGTTCTTCTGAAAAGACAGCATGTTGTACTGCTATGAATTAACTATTCTACTCTCTGAATGTAGCACAAGAACTGCCTGTCAGCTTGTTTCAATAATACATCGAAAATACAGCTGTGTACAGGAGTTCTGTGGCTGGATTGCCTTAACAGAATGTCACATATCAGAGGATAGAGTGTTCAGTGTTTGTTTTCCACAGTCAGATGACTTAGGTTAGGTTTGGTAAGGAAAGAAATCCCTTAACAATATGTAACTCATAACTGAATATTCTGACTCTCAGTTTCAGTGTGTTGGGGCCAGCATTCGAGCAGCATCAAGATCATTTCAAAGCATGTCCAGCTACAGAGATTCACAAAGTCAGCCTCCACAAGAAAATCCTGACAAGTCCCTCTGTCTGGAAGAGGGTTGCCTGTCAGGATGCACCACCAGTGCTGACCAGACTGACTGGTCCCAGGGAGAAGTCCACTGAGAGGCAGCTACAAAAGAAAGAAGTCAGTGTCACGCTGATCTGGAGGATCTGGTCAAAAGCTTTTTACCTAAACAACATGTGCCGTCATACTCCACCTCAGTTCAAACATGAACGTCATCTGTACTCCAGCAAAGATCTGCCTGTAATGTGTTTGTGTTTGGGAAGTTATGTGGACAGCTGCCACCATCACCCGTTGCTGTTTGCAGTTGGACATGTCAGAAACATAAATCCCAGCCCTAGGGAACTTAAATAAAAAAAAGGAGGGGAGGAAAGGGGAAAGAGAAAAGGAAAAGAGGGAGAGGGAAGAATGCTTCACAAACCCCGAATATTGCAAGTTAAATCTTTTGCAGATTTAGATTCATAGACTTACACACAAGTATTCCACAAAGGGATTTATTTTTCTCTAAACTATTGTTCTATCGTTCTTCCAGCCAACAGACTGGAAATGGCCACAGACCCATGAAACTTGTCTTAGAGTTCTGGGTTTACAGTGCTGCCAGGCTGCAGAGAAACAAATTGAACCATGGCATGTCATCTAGATACCCTGAGAGCATGTGGCAGTGGCCTGAGTCTTAACCAATGTCATAGGAGATGGAGTTGGAACTGAGAAAGCCTTTCAATATAAACAGAAGCTCACAGACACAAGAGTCTCTCCTGTACTTATTAATGCATTCCCACGCAATGCAAGTAATCAGGTTACAGCTGTACAGGTAAGGTCACAGCAGAACTGTGAATCCATATTTGTGCTCTGGATCTGTATCCTTTGTCCATGAGATAAAGCTTCTAGTGTGTGTATACATAAGCCCGTTCCAGTGCCTCAGCACCCTCACAGTAAAGAATTTCTTCCTTATATCTAACCTACCTCTCCTCTGTATAAGTTTGAACCCACTGCTCCTTGTCCTGTCACTACAGTCCCTGATAAAAGAGTCCCTCCCCAGCATCCTTGTAGGCCCCCTTCAGACACTGGAAGGCTGCTATGAGGTCTCCACACAGCTTTCTCTTCTTCAGGCTGAACAGCACCAATTTTTCAGGTGCTCCAGCTGCCTGATCATCCTCATGGCCTCCTCTGGACTTGCTTCAACAGCTCTGGTGCTGGGGACACCAGAATTGCACACAGTACTCCAAGTGGGGTCTCACAAGGGAAGAGTAGAGGGGAAGAGTAACCTCCTTTGACCCTTTGAGGTCATGCTTCTTTCAATGCAGCCCAGGATACCATCATCACCATGTCAAGTTTCATCAATTTCCTGTCACTAATAATTTTGAAAAAAAACAAACAAGCAAAAAAAAAAAAAAAAAAAAAAGTCTAAACACTCCCCCCCCAAAAAAACCAACCCACAGAAAAAAAAAAAAAAAAAACAAACCAAAACAAAATCCTCAATGTAAAAGGGGCAACACAAAGCAGTCTTACAAATCCAAAATTTCAGTTGCTCTTGTACAACACATGTGAATTCATTTGTCAAGTAGCTAAAGAAAGGGTGTCTCCTTAATTAGAATGATAGAATCAACTAGATTGGAAAAGACCTTTAGACCATCAAGTCCCACCATTACCCCAGGACTGCCAAGACCATCACTAAACCGTGTCACTGAGGGCCTCGTCTACACGGTTTTTGAATACTTCTGGCGGCCATGATTCCATCACTTCCCCCGAAAGCCTGTTCCCCCAAAAGCCTGATCAACTGATTTTAGACTAAGCACACGGTACGAAAGATCCCAAGGCTTCACACTCCCCCTTGAATAGAGGTCTTTGTTTCTCAGTCTGACAGTTTTAATTTTTAATTTTGTTTGTTTAATGTGGGGGGTTTTGTGTTGTTTTTTATTGTTGTTGTTTGGTTTTTATCCCCCTCAAAGCATTCAATTGTTATTTATTTTCTCGACCCGTAGTACACAGCTCGCGTTTAGGCACACAAGCCCCCCCACCCCCCTCCCCCCACCACCCCCCCCGGACTCTCTCTGAAGTCGCCAGCAGCAGACTCTTCCAGGTCTTGCAGATGCTCCCGCAGAGACGTTCAATCCACCTTTACCTCCCTCCCATCTCCCACACTAGCGCTCGCACAGGACAGCCTGCACACGCGGCGCGGGGTCTTTGTGCCCGCCCGCCCATCGCTCTCTGCCACGAGGTGTCAGCAAAGGAACCCGCATCGTAAGGGAGCAAGCGGAAAATAAAAAAACACAAGAACCACCCCCAAAAGAAAAAAAAAAAAAAAAAAAAAAAAAAAAAAAATTCAAATTACTTCAAACCGGCACCGCTGTGCCTGAGGCGTTTTTCCTTTTTTCGGACTCTCCGCTAGATGACAGCGGTGAAACCAGGCTGAAACGGCCAGTAAATGGGCTTGTGGAGAAAAGGGTTTTATCCCTACTGCTAGGCCCTCAGAGAGCAATGCAATTAAGCAACTTGCGTTATTGGCTGTTTTCCTGGAAATTACAGAGCCCTTTACTTTCAGGCTTCCCGCCTGCAGGCCTCAGTAATTTACAAAAATACGACTCTTCATTGTATGCAATGCATTTAAAGCAAATGTACTTAGGGTGGAAAAAGCAGTTAGGTATTGTTGTTTTAATGTGAATAATTACTTCATAATGTCAGCTATTAGTTTTGTAAAATGTTCCCAAGTTCTTACTTTCATAAGCTGAATGGACCTGATTTTTCAGAGCAAACACCCTTCTACACTGAAACTGTGGCAAGCCAGGAGACTTGAGTTCCCCTGAACATTTACACCAATGTTCAGTTTTGTAACAAGGATTCTAATTTTATGCCAATGCATTAAAATGCTGCTACAGTTTTGCTGTTGGCTTCTTGCTGGATTAAAGCAGTAAGCTGTTTTAGCCTGGGTGTTTGAACCGGTACAAACTAGACTAGCATCCAAGTAGTTACGGCACAAATGAGATTCAGACATAGACCAGGTGGGGAAGGAAGGAATTAAAAACACTTATCTTACTGTCACACTGTACTTGAAGCTGGATCCATCCTGATCTGACTTAAAGCACTGCAAAGCAGCTGTAAGTAGGACACATGCTAGAATTCAGACGTGGGAATGCATACCCTTTACCTTGGTCCTACTCCTGACCTACTTCAAAGCTTTTTTTTTTTATGAAGACAGGTAGATCTGTTATAACCTCAACTTCCCAACTTTTGTGCATCTGTGAGATTTTCTTGTGTCAGTGAGGGAGATCCACATCTCAACAGTGTTCATAGCTCCTTACCCTTATATAGAAGGTATAAAGGGTTTGCAACACTCAGATCATTTTTCAGAAAGGAAATCAAATTTAAGTTCTCTGTTCACTCACTTTTTATTTTGTCATTTTTCTCACATTTTCGTTCTTCTAAATTATGCTGAATTTATGAACTTAACTGTCTGAGTGCTCTGAACGTCTCCCTTTGGTCCTTTCATTTGCCAAGAAAGACCCTTTTTCACAGAAGGGATATGTAATTTTTACCTTTTTAAGTTGTACCCCAATCCCAGTTTATACTGTACAACACCAATTTTGCTTGAGCTTTTGATATGTCAGATTAAAAAAATATTGGCACTCTGTTTTTTGATTGACAGAGATTGTATGTGTTCAAAGACCACGACACATGCACAAAGCACTATCTCAGGCCTCAGGTAATTATTCTGATAGAAGCTCAGTGGTCTATCTTTTGTGGTTTTTTTTTTCTCTGAAAAAGTTTAAGAAAGCTTTTACGGATTTAGGCTAACTTTTTACTAAGAAGTGCTGCATCATTGCAGCAATGCACTCTGTGTAATTTTTTGCTTTAGAATTCTTTGGGACATCTTGAATGCTGCTATATAATACTTTTCTGTATTCCAATAATAAGTTTTTTACTGTGAGGGTGGTGAGGTACTGGAACATGTTGTCCAAATAAGTTGTGGATGCTCCATCCCTGGCAGTGTTCAAGGCCAGATTGGACATGGTTTAGCCTGTGGTATCCCTGCCCAGGGCAGTGAGGTTGGAACTAGATGATCTTATGGTCCTTTCCAACCCTAACCATTCTATGATCCTATGAAAATAGCTACAATATTATCTATCAGAAAAAGATGAACAGGATGGTAGATATTTATTAGAATGATTACTTAGCTGATTGTCTGTACATACAGTATATACCATACCACACATGCTGATGCAGATCACTAGTCCAAAGAATGCACTAAGAAAAGTAACGTATTGGTAGTTTTCTTTTTTAACGATACCCATAAGAAGACATTCTGCTGTGCTCAGAGTATTTGTCTCTTTCCAGGATCAATTCCTTATGCTGCATAGGAATATTGTAAACTAGTGATGTCAAACAAATAGCAATTGTGGAAAAAAAAAAACCCACAACCCAAACAAACAACAACAACAAAAAAAAAAAACACACCAAAACCACAAACAAAACAAAACAAAAATAAAATAAGAAAGAATTCAAATATAACAAGGGAGGAGAATACCTTAATAAAAAATATTTATTGAAAACATTCCCATCAACATTATTTGGCTGTACTAAGTAAGTAAAATGCTGAGTGTGATTGTGGCAGTTAGGATGCAAACAGCTAGTATCATGAGCAAGATGATTCGGCAACATTTGGAATGCTTTTTCTCTCTCTCTTTCTTTTTTAACAAGGTATCATACCCAGGAGTATAAATATCCCCCATCCAGAACTGCAGATCGTTAGGGTTTTCCTAAAAGAAAAACCAGAAAATTAACTCAGTTCCTGTCTTGCACATAAAGTCATTAGGACATAGCCAGAAGTATTTTGGCTTTCATCAGATAGTGGTTAATGAATTTAAGGCATCACAACACAAATGCAAAAATTTTCACTAACATAGGTTGCGCTATGAACATACGTTGCCAGATGTTGCAAATTTTCCACTAGGGAGAATGAAAACCACACTTTTCAACCAGGAACCAAATGTAGGACACCAGCCTTTGAAATGTGATTAAAAAACCCCAAAGAAACCATGTAGTCTTCACAAGAAGAGACGCTGATCTATAAACACAGATCTGAGTCCCTTTCCAACAAAAAAGGGAACAGCAGAAAAAGTGCTTACTATAGTAACCTTAAAAGGGATTTGTGCCTACCCACAGGCAGACAGGATCCTGCATAGTGTGGATAAGGCTTGGAAAATGCACCTTATTTGATAACAGAATGATGTTATGAACAGTTGTTGAAGTGACTATATAGTGTTTAAGTGTCTCATTTACAGCCCTTCCCTATATTAACAGGGAAGCTGAGTTGTGAGGTGTTGCAGTTTAAGATTTTCTCTGGTCACAGAGGTCATCTTCCGCAGAACTGAAATTTCTGGAGTCTAGCCAGACACTTAGACATCTTTTCTTGATCAGACTCATGTTAGTGTCATGTTTGTAGCAGAAAATACATGCATATTTGCTTCTGGAATCCCACCAAAAGAACCAAGTGGGTTTCACAGTGGGTTCATGCACACCCCACACAGCAATTCACTTTGTTTAAACAGAGCGCAACAGTGAGTTACCTTTATTTGGCTGGCCAAGTTAGAGTGCAGCGAGTGTCTGTCATAGTCTTGCACAGTCCAGGAAGGGATCTTTTTCTTCTCCTCCAATTCATCATCCACCTGGATATCGCTATACAAGGGGTTGCTTTTGATAGTGGATTTCAGGGTGACGGGGGTAATGTGTTTCCCGAGGGCTTTGTCTATCATTTCTTTACTGACCCTGTTTGAGTCTAAGCCCGGCAACTTAGTGACATTTCTTTTTTCTCTCTGTAAGGCACAATTTTGACCAGAAGTTGGCTTTCATCTTATTTAATTACAACACAGTTCCCCTTCCAGAATTAGCATTTGTAATACAACAGAATCAAAATTACACATGCAACAATTTTTCTCATTCTGGCAAACATCTACAGTGCAGTAAGGGAGCCTGACTGTTCACCCTGGCCATATTTCTTCTTTCTGGGGAAAGCACATGGGTACAGTCTGAACATCAAGCTATTTTGCAAATGCAAACTGACATTATAATGCCTGCTGAAAGAAAGCCTCTGCTTTAGCAAAACAGTGCTATGGAGCATTGAGGTAGAAGGTGTAGTTCTGTTGGGAGCCATGGGTATATGGTGCAGAAGAAGGGCTATAAGGACAAAGCAGAATGAAGTACAGGGATCATAGTGTTCAAGTGATTGCCTTGGCTGGATCTGCGCCTTTGACAGCAGGGGTGTGATTGCAGTTCTGTTCATGCCATTGAATGCTAGACCTGTGTCAGGATGTCAGAGGACCTTCATTCAACTGAGGAAGAATTCTTACTTTGGGCACTGTCAGAACTCAAAGGCAATTAAATATCTGAGCAGTCTCCCACCAACAACAATTGTTAAATTGGACAATTTAGAACAGGAGGGTGGCGAGGGAGGAAGGTGAACAGCCCTAGTGGAATCACTTTTTTTTTGGAGAACTCACAAGCTGCTGCTTAACAGAGCACTAAGAGCCTCTTCAGAAGAAGCTAGTAAGACATTAGTTACCCTATTTTTTGATCTGTCATTGCACAGAGGAATACAAGCAGACTTTCCAATTCAAGCTGTTCAGTATTTTGGTTCACCACAACTTTCTGTCCCTGAGACTTTAAATTAACCTGTCTCTGGTGTTCTGGTGGTGCGTCACATTCCAGAGAGACCTGCTTCTGGCAGAGCCCTTGGCTTGCACTAACACCTCTCCTGTGTCTCAGGACTGTTTCTACAGAGCCATCACAGTGCAAATTCAGCTTTCTTCATTAGCAAATCCTGCTTTCCCATTCTCAACTTTGTCCTTAGGAATTTTATATTGAGAAAAGGGAAGCTTTTCCTTCACCGGGTGGCCCTGAACACCCCAGCCCTCTCCCACCCTTAGAAATTGCTAATCACACATAAAGTGAGTGCACATAATGAACAGCCAACTAAGAGGCCGGGGACCTGAGAAACTTCCTTCTATGAAAGGATGTCTTTCTGAGGATATTTCATTTATGTCAAGAACTCCAACTGTTAAGGTGCCATGGGCTGGATGGATTTCAGCAGACAAAGGGCTTGCTGCTGCTGCAGGCACATTCTGCTTCTCCTTCCAGCCCTTGGGATCCCACCTCCTCCCACACATGGGCTCTGAGAGCAGCTTGTATTTCACATCACCCAGTGCAAGTCCCTAAGCTGATAGCAAACTGTTGTCTTCTGCTTGAGTAATTTTTGCCCTCTTCATGGGCTGGTGAAGCCACTTTCTGTGGAAGCCAGCTACTACATGTTATCACCTACTTTATGCTTCAGTGCCGGTGATCACACACAGACATGTGAGTCGGTCTGGGTGAGGCAGGTGTAGAAGGAAGTGAGAAGACTGGTTTCCTTCAGAAAGGAAAGGTGAAGAAATTAAAAAAACATCCTTTGTCTAAAAAACATTAGGAGTAAGCATCATGCTCGCATTCTTATTGCTAAATTGTGCACAAGTGACTAAGCATGTTTCCCATCAATAATTATCCTTAGTAGGTGGGTGGATCCACAGTGCCCTCCCAGTCTATTAGTTCATCATTTCCATAAGTCATTCCTTAGCCTTGACATATCCCCTGACAATATTACTCTTTGCATTGCAATTACAGCTGGCACTGAAGCCCTCTGGGTTGTACTGGCCAGATTGCAGCTGAGCTGGTGTTTTTATGTCATTCCTTTCTGGCTGCATATTTTATTTTATTTATTTTATAAATTTGCCATTGACTTCAGTGATGCTTCCCTCAGGCTTGTTAGATAGTTGAACTTGGAGAACATTTTGTTGAAGAACGTGAACTGTGTCATCAGGGGATGCTTGGTCTCCCTAGGCTAAAATGTTGTGAAAAGAATGCAGCTTGACAGTAATTTCTCAAGCTGTTTCAAATAAAATGCTCCAAATCTTGGAATAGATGGCATGATGCAAAATTTGTTCATAAAGAGAGTGCTTTGTGGCAAAACTTTTTGCCCCTTCTGCCTGTAGTGCCTTCCTTTTCACAGACACAAAAACAGTAGAATATGGGGAGTGGGGAGGGGTTGATGGGGGGAAACAACAGGGTTTTAGCATGAAAACTGGAATTGAATTTGGGGTAGGAGATAGTCTGCAGAAGTTTTAGAAACAGATACTGAGGTGCCAAGCTAATAGGGAGAATACACTTGAGTGCAGGCAAATGGTTATTTATGAAACTTACGCAGTTTCACAGGACAGATGTCCCAGACACTAGTTAGGGAAGAGGAATCACAGAAGATTGAAGCACATACAAAACCAAACCAAACCAAACCAAAACAACAAACAAAAACCCCCAAAGGCTTAGGTCCAATAAATTATACAGAGAAAGATGAGGAAAATGGCATGAAACATATGCACTTAAAGAAGCAGAGAAACAGCAGATTAGATAAAAAAAATGTACCTGCTAGTAGTTCTAAAAGAAATCGTGCTTTTAAGATTCAACACATCTCCCAACAACTGTTACATACTTCTATGTTTTGATTCTGATTCGTGAAATTAATATTCAAAGAAAGAGGGAAGTATTGTAAACCTAGGTATCCATATGAATTACAGAATTGATATGGTGTACACTGTGTCTAAGAAGGCAGGGTGAATAAGGTTGGAACACATAAAATCAGAGGCAATTTATGTTACTATTTGCTGAATGGAAGAGCGAAAAGCAAATACTCATAGCAGCAATAGTTATGAAGAACTCTGAGAAACTGTAGATGAAATGTGTTGATGAATTACTCATTTAACGATGAAAAATGCTCAACTCTGCAAACGTAACTGTGTTTAATGTACATATTGTTT